TCTCTCCCTCTCTCTCTCTCTCGCTCTCTCTCACTAATCATTCCTTCTCTCAACAGTTTGTTTATTTTTGGATTATTTAATTAATAGACATTTTTTGACAATGGTTATATAAGGATATATACACTTTTCCCACCTCTCCCTTTCTCTCATAAATGTATGTGTAGGGTAAAATGAATAACTCAAGTTTAATCATAGGTCCAAGAGACGGAACATTGCAGGTTAATATAAAATTATCAAGGAATCAATATTTTCTCTCCCTCTATCTCTAGTAAGAAAAACCATTTATCCCTCAACAGTGATATTTTATGCAACCAGTGGTTACAGTAATTAAAATATGTTGAAAAAACAAGCATAAAAACGTTTAAACATAATAATAATTTAGAGTTAGGAAGGGGTTACGATTCACGTACATATAAAAATTTAAATTTGGTTATATAGCTGTTTATATTTTTCGTACATTTTATTCATATCATATTTTTATTTTTAGTATTATTGTTTGTTTAGTAATTGTGAGATAATTTTAAATAGATAACGTGTAACATTTAGAATTCCACACTATAGTTGCATAGAGACTTAGTACGAAACTGACGCTCGATCCGCTCGAAGAGTCATCGTGCTATAACAGGATAATTCCATATATTTTCGTGAGGATTATCTGCCATGTTAGTAGATTAGAACTATATCCTCAGCGTCCTTGCACTGTTACACACGCGGATTTTGTGTCACTTTCAATTTAGATAGGCATCCCTCTTAAAAAGTACTACTTTGCAACAAGCAAATACAAAAATAGGCTGAGGCAAATGAACGTATTTTAAACCTAGATAAGCATAATGCAAATGACCTTCTCTACGCCTTCACCGCTCGTAATGTATATTGCGTAAAAAAAATTGCGACATGCATTTTCCAATACTTGTTGGTTTTGTTGTGATTTTAAGTGCTATGTACCAACGGATGACCAGTTTGTGTTTAATCTTGAGATAGACAGAAGTCAGAAATGTTAAAATTACATTACTTTAAACAAACTGTTAGTTTTAGTAAGTGCCCTGAAGAACGAACTGTAAATGAGGTGTCAACATTACTTTGAAAAAGAACAATATATAGTATTAGAAACCTGTATGTTTTTTAGTTGGTCTTAGTTAGCCAAAGAAATGTTTTAAATTGATTTATAATTTTTATGTAAAGTGTGGTTCACATGGAAATAAAAATGGAACACACTGAGATAGATAGATAGATAAATAGATAGATAGATAGCGATGGAGAGGGAGGGAGAGGGAGAGAGAGAGAGAGAGAGAAAGAGAGAGAGAGAGAGAGAGAGAGAGAGAGAGAGAGAGAGTGTGTGCGAAATTTTGTGGCTGTGAGTGTATGTGTTAACATTATATGATGTTAAGGTGTAACATCGTCTTCACAAATAATTTGTACAAATCAAAAGCAAAATTGTTTACAAAATTATGTCTTCCTAGTTATCAATTAAATTAAATTAAACAAAATCTTACAAACATAAAATTCTATATATTGAAACAAAGGACTATAAACTACTTAAAATTGCAGGAAATTATCATGAAAGCATATAAACATATTATGCAGAGTAAAAAAAACTGAATTGGAAGTATCCACAATAACTTTGCTTCAAGCTTGTAAAACGTAATATGTTTTATAAAGTGCAATATGTCTGTAATGTTAGGAGTACATCCGTCAGATTTTTTAGGGCTTTTTAATACAAATATTGGGATTCACATGTTTTTACAGAGTTGGGAAATTCGTTATAAAATTGAATACTTTTTGGAATAAATGAGTTTTTAAATGATTTTGTTCTACGTAATGAATTTCTATACATAATATTTAAACGTGTAGTCTTAAAAAGAGAGAGAGAGAGAGAGAGAGAGAGAGAGAGAGTGAGAATGTGTGCGAAATTTTGTGGCTGTGAGTGTATGTGTTAACATTATATGATGTTAAGGTGTAACATCGTCTTCACAAATAATTTGTACAAATCAAAAGCAAAATTGTTTACAAAATTATGTCTTCCTAGTTATCAATTAAATTAAATTAAACAAAATCTTACAAACATAAAATTCTATATATTGAAACAAAGGACTATAAACTACTTAAAATTGCAGGAAATTATCATGAAAGCATATAAACATATTATGCAGAGTAAAAAAAACTGAATTGGAAGTATCCACAATAACTTTGCTTCAAGCTTGTAAAACGTAATATGTTTTATAAAGTGCAATATGTCTGTAATGTTAGGAGTACATCCGTCAGATTTTTTAGGGCTTTTTAATACAAATATTGGGATTCACATGTTTTTACAGAGTTGGGAAATTCGTTATAAAATTGAATACTTTTTGGAATAAATGAGTTTTTAAATGATTTTGTTCTACGTAATGAATTTCTATACATAATATTTAAACGTGTAGTCTTAAAANGAGAAGGGAGAGAGAGAGAGAATGAGAAAGAGAGAGACAGAGAGAGAGAGAGAGAGAGAGAGAGAGAGAGAGAGAGAGACAGACAGACAGACAGACAGACAGACAGAGAGAGACAGAGAGAGAGAGAGACAGACAGACAGAATGGTCGACTCTTATATTGCTTACAGAGTAAGATGCAAGTGTAAATTTTTCAGAAACATGTGAAAGTTAGATTTATTTTAATTACTTCGGCCGCGTGTAGTGTAATGAAAGTGACAGAAATTTGCGAAGCCGCAATATTTGATTCAGTGTACAGAGATGAACAGACAGTCCCTGGAAATGCCGTATAAACTTTACAACATCGAAGTTAGACAGGAATCTTGGATAAAAGCAATTCTGACAATGCAATCAACCCCGAGGGCAGGCATAATCAAAAGTATATCATGAGTTTAGTGGGACCGTTAAAGATGTTTATTAAGAATTTATCAAAAAGAAAATTTTCTTTTGTTTCAATATTTATATTTAAAATAAATGTGAGGTATTTCGAAAATCAGAAACGCATAAATAATAAATAACAAAAACGTGATTACATTTAAACGTCAAAATTAATTATATGCGTCTTATCAACCAACCGAAATCATTTGCAGAATCGAGTTATTCCTTTATTAATCATTATTATGCTATAAATTTTGAAATTATCTATCCTAATCAAAATAACCTTTTTTGGTTGGTCTGTACGTTAATTTGTCAACCGTGTGATTGTGAACTTTAGTAGAAACTTGAAAGATTTGTGCCGGTAGTTTTGCTTGTAGACTTTCGATTGATTGAATCTGTACATTTTCTGTGAAATAAATTTTAACAAAATAATTTTAATAATAAATAAAATTTATTATTAAAAAAATACATGGAATCTAAAAATTTTACCTAACATGTTCATGTGCCGTTGGAGTTATATTATCCCTTATTTTCTCTCTCTCTCTCTCTCTCTCTCTCTCTCTCTCTCTCTCTCTCTCTCTCTCTCTCTCTCTCTCTCTCTCTCTCTCTCCGTGTATTTCACTCCGATCTACACATTCAACGATTTTCATGTATGATAGACAAAGGGCAAAAATGTTTACAAACATTTATTTCTCCCAGAAACATTTTTCATCCCAACCCATTCTCGAACTACATTCTTAACCATGACAGGCGATATCCTCAAGAATGATACTGATGCTGTCGATTCATACTTCTCAATGCTGGTATAGGTGGGAAAAATAACACATAAACACCCACTCACCTAGTCTCCATTCTCCACAAAAAGTTCCACCCTCCAAGTTACCTCAACTATATTCCCCCCAAACTTCGTATAAAGTGCGGTACCTAGGGCTGTACATCGACGAACACATGACGTGGAATCTCCACACACGACTAAAATATCAAAAAGTTACGACACGATTCAGGGCCCTTCACGATTTCTTGATAAACGCTCAAACTTACTTCTGACAAATAAAAGGCTGCGTTATAACACCTTAGCAAAGTAGATGTAGAAAAACAAATCGGAAGTGTGGGGTTCAGCCGAATATTCCAATATCCGCTGCACACCTATTGTCTAATCTATAATCCTAAGAGAAAAACTTGTTGCTCCGTCATTCATTTTGCTATACGCTCCGTTTCCACAAGCCTCATAAACCCTTCCCAACCTGTATAAATCCTGAAATCTAGAAGCCCTCCTCGTCGAATAACGAGGCGGTTATTATCACAGAATTCGCGGTAGTTTAACGGGATTTAAAGAAGTTTAAGATAAACTATAAAAGCATAATTTACAAAAATCTTTTCTGTGCTAATTCCTTTCAATATATTCCAGATAAAGCCGCCTATTCCGTTTTTTCAGACATTCTGATTCATTATCTACATTTATTTATTTAATCAGATCATTCTCCATGCTGTCTACCCACACAACAATGGATAATTACATGTCCGTAGTTATGTGTATTACATATAGTGTATATCTCGTATTTGTTAAAAGCGAATTCACTAAATAACGACATGTACTGGAAATGTTCCATATCTATTGATAATACATGATGAGATACCCTGTAAAAACCTCTACTATCAGGTGGTGTATTTGAATTTTTTATCTCCAAAATAACTTCCAAACCGTCGTCCAAGAGCCATAGTGTGATATGCTGTTTGTGATTATTTATTTGACTATTAAACTTTTACATCTTTTAAATTAAAGCATTTTTATATATGAATTTGTTATTATAAATAAATCCTTAAGAACGTGGGCTAAATTTAATATATAAATCTGTGTTTGACAAATATGTATTACATTATTTATTTTTTCTCTGCCATAGAATATTTATGTAGGCACTGTTTATTATCAAATATTTATATTATTTATATATTTTTCTATATTTTCGAAACTGTTAATAACTGAGTGATGGTAAAATTTTAAAGTAAAGAAATTTTGCTATCTGTTGTAGTTAGTTTCTTTCTTTGTTTATTAAACCCGTCGGTTATGACATTTTACTAAAACTAATTAAACTATTTCAAATAACCCAATTGGCATTGTTCCGTTAATTTAATTATAGTAATTAACATATATCCAAATACCTTCAGACAGATGTATCGAGATAGGAGGTTTTATTTGCCCACTTTGATTTTGTGTAATATGTAGCCGTGAAGGAGAAATTCTAAGAGACTGAAACGCGAGGACTGCCTATCGAGTCTTATATAGGAGAGAAGACCATTACGAAACTCCGAAGCACATCACTTGCCAAATACAAAGCCTTCGCCCTGATCAAAATACTAGATTGAAATATACTGTATTGGAAAATTGTTGGGTCGTAATGGATACTATCGTACAAAAATGTTTGTGGTTACAAAAAAAAAAAAAAGAAGGAAATTGCACAATGATAAATATCCGCAAAAATTCTGTAAATATCCAAAATCAAAAATGAGGTCAATTTTTAAATGATGAAAAATTCATTTTTATTATTTTATTACATTCATTATAATAAAAAAAATTCATTTTTAAGTAACGTTACAATTTGATATAATATAAACTTATATTAATTTCAGCAATCAATTTTTAACTAAACGATATAAATTAATTACAATATCACACACAACACATACCTTCACACAGGAATTGCAACTAAAGATTCAAAACAACTAATTTTATTATCAATTTAGAAAAATGCGGTACGAAAATAATTCAAACCGGAAAATGAAGATAAAAGTCAAGGTTACAAAAAATTGAAACAAACAAAAATCTTGCATTAAAAAAATCCTAGTCAGTCCAATGTTTCAACATCAAAGTGCGCATAGACACCTAAGTAAAAGCCACTATAAAAAAATAAACATGTTACAAATATATTAAAATAAATGAAATCGTCCCTTCTAATTCAAACTAGCAACAATAGATGATTGGTAGAATAAAATCCTGAAACTGAACGAGGGTCCTTAACTTGTCTACACAAGACTCCAAAGAAGAACAGTACTTGGTGGTCAAAATTTTGACCTAGCAAAACATCAACGTCCCATACCAAATTTTTTTTAAAGATTTGATCAATATATTTCGGTTCACAAGAAATGCCCTAAAAATACTAAAACGTGCACAGGTGAACAAATCAGTGCCGCTAAACAGTTTAAGGTTTCGTTCACTCCCATCAACTCAATGCTGGTTTGAAAATGCTTCAAGCATTTCTTCCTGGAACTACTGGAAAAACCTAGTCAAATAACTTCAGTGTGGGGGCCAGAACAAGGGGATTGGAAAACAAATAACAGGCTGACACACGAACATAAGCAGGAAAAGCCTTAACTCTCTTTAGACCAGAACCACAAACTGGCATACTCCAAAGTATGCTTAAAATGGAACTAAACCGATAAATGGGGAAATAATTACTTCAAAACCAGGAAAACAGAAATCTATTTTTCCCAGATGCCAACGAATAATAACATACCACTAGTGAAAATTCTGGGATATGGATATAGGTGTCTATTTGACAGTGCGGTGGCAGAAGGTAAATTATCGTCAGCAGTGGTCCCATTATATATTATTTTGTTATTAGTCCCATTATTATTATTTAAAAATTTTAATATTTGCTTGAATAGCAAACGTTTAATTCGAATGAAAAGGAAATGTAGAAACTTCGTTGAAGGAAAAAAAAGATTATACAGATTATATTTCTTTAGATCAAAGTTTTTACATTTTTTCTGGTTGATTGCAAGTTTAATATTACATATTAAATCCATTATATTTAATGGTCTATTGACTAAATTACTTCTTTCAATTAATTAATCCTTTTATGTAAGGTTTTGGTTGAAATGAAAAAGTTACTGTCTCGAGCGGGATTCGAACCTACTACCTTCGGCTCAATACGCCGCTCCTCTAACCACTTGAGCTTTCGAAACAAANTCATTTACTGAAACGATTAGATTTTAGTTATGTAGAACCATTGTATCAAGGAATTGTTGTAAAACATTGTAGAGAGGAAATATATATATATATATATATATAAAGATGTATAAGGACTTATTTGTCTGTTTACTTTAAGCGACTTTCGACTTACGTTTAATTCCTACTGATGCAATGCTAATCTTGGCAAATAACCTTGATGCTTGACAGCAAATGATCATGTTAATCATTTTAATCGTGATAAAACTTTTATGAATCTCGTTCTCGTATTTTTCTCTTAAAATGAGGCAAAACAAATCAATTTATTTTTTAATTACTCTTAAAGGGTTTCTCAAATTTAGTGTTATGGACTTTGAAGACGGCACTCTAAAAACAAGAAAAATAGGGAAAACAATTCTATGGCAATATTAAAGATAAAAGTCTGGTTTGGTGCAAAGTGATTACATTTTAACCAACAAAAAATAAATCGCTCACATTAGGTCTAAGGGATTGATGAGAGGCTTCTGACAATCCAGAATATATTGAACTATTAGGAATAAAAGTTGATCCTCTCCTAAACTGGAGCACACACTATGAACAACTACTCAATCGATTGAATCCGAATATTATTTGTTAAGAGAGTTTTCTAGTCATGTGTCTTGGAGAGATAGAAGTTTTAGCTAACAGAGGAATTAATTTTTCTTAAAATGATTGTGTACAATATACAAAATTATGAATTAAAACCATTTATTTTGTTCTTTTGTTAAATATCTTACTTAATTACTCCTTCTGTAACAAATATAATAATTTGTAATAAATTTTAATGCAATTCATAATAAAATTAAAATAAAAGTGCCAGAGAAAGTAAATAATACAAAATTGGCAGGATCCAAATTCATTTTTCAGTAGTTTATATTTATTAATGAGTTTTGTATGTACAAAGAAATGAGGATACATTTTCTTTAAACTGTGTTATTAACAAATGCAGCACCAGAAATAAACCTACATTATTTGTACCGTTCACTGGAGAGAAAACTTCTCAACCTAGTACATGATTCTATGTGCCAAAACTGTACAACTGTTTAACCGCAGAACTGAAACCAAATTGTTACTTGTTTAAGAATAAATTAATTGACCGCCTGGTGTCCAGGCAATTCATGTGTATTGAAGAATTTTGTGATAACAAACTATAGCAATTCACCTTTCTATCTTCACTATGTTACTCGGCCTTTCGGTTTCTGCAATAACTTATTCTTAGTCTTACTTCTAAATTTACAGTTTTCTTGATTTAGTTTTTATTGTGTTAATTAAATTCCATAGGTCATATAAGTCTAATTATATATGAGATTTACTCAAATCTCAACCAGTTTGGTTTAGCACTATTTACCTATATTAGTATTCGTATTAATGACAGATTTTTAATCAAAACGGCATATTAGAGATTAAAATAAAAAAAAGCATATATTTTTTGTGAATGCAATAAAAATTATCCCATAAGTAAATTTCAAGAATCTCAGCTCTGTTGAAGTATATTCCATTATTCCTTACACATTGTCATGTTTCCTCATCTATTTACCGTCAAAAGTTAGTATAATACATTTTTTGTTTTAGTAAAAATAACAATAATTCATTTTCTCCCGATAAAGAAGTATCAATACAATATCTTCCATTGAGCTTTTTCATTGGTTAAGATTCTGTTTTAATTTTATGTATTACTAAATTTGTCATCTAATTTAACATTGATTAAAATAACTATCCATTAATTAAGGTTTTTAGTTGAGATAAAAAAGTCAGTGTCACGAGCGGGATTCGAACCCACGATTTTCGCCTAGATACGCCGCTGCTCTACCACTTGAGCTATCGTGACTTCGATCAACTCGGACACTAACTTCCAATCTCAACCCCACCTTTTGAATTTTCCCTCCTTTTTGCCATTTTTCAATAATAATTTTCAGATATTATTTGGTCAGGCGGACCACGAAAAATAGTTGAATAACGCATTTGAAAACTGACTATGGACGAAGCAAATTTACGTACAACAAAACAAAATTTTTTGCTTCGTCAAATTGCAACAGAGACGTTTCTCAATGTAGCTGACATTTCCAGTGCTCAGGAAATTACTTATTAAAAGGCGCATTAATTCCGATGTTAAAAGCCTGTTAACTTTGATGGCATATCCCTGAATAATATATTCAATCTATAGACTCAGGATGTAAAATCAAACTACAATACTTGTACCATCTGGTAAATATGTATGTTTTATTAAATTTAAAAAACCTTAAAACCTAAACAGTTCCATAAGCAAATACTTCTGGAGAACGTGAGCTCAAAGTGATTCTACATTTATTAGCATATTTCAATGATATTAGCATAATAGTAGTGTATAAACAAATTTAAAGCTAAGTTACATACATTTTTTTTTATAAAGGTACTTTCTAGAAAATTGTTAAAACCAATAAAGTAGATTTTGCTGAATACTTTTCTAAAATCTGGAAAGGTTATATATTATCAAATAATTTTGTTTATTACAGAATTATTTTTATTTTATTGTAAATTGTCGAAAATAAAATACGACTGCAAATTAAGTTAAAATGAATTGCCGGACACAGATTAGAAGAATGATTGAGAAAACTGTTTATCTAGGCTTATATTATATTGCTAGTGTCCGATACATGCAGTTGAAAAATTTGTAATCCGTACGATTACAAAAATGGCAACAAAAACATAAAAATTTTCATTCTTCTAATCAATGTAGACGTTTGTTAAGATAAACGTTAAGTAACCTTTGTATTAAAAAGTTCAATTTATAATTTTCATTTTACTTTAATTACACAATAATCAAATATTATAGTTTTTCAAAATCACTAAATTATCAGGCTAAAAGTAGATTTACATGTCGACTGACTGACATACATATTGTTTCAAAGGATTACCTTTTCCGTCCTTTAACATACCAGCCGTCCTCGAAAGAAGAATTCACTTATGCAAATATCAAACGGGAGGATGAAGACCCCCGGCAGCAAAGCTCTTTTGTACAGAACGTTCCTTTTTCGAACGGAGAAAACCTTTTTGCCGGACACATATAAAAAATGATCAAACCGAAGACGGAAACAATTCTTTAACAATTGTACCGTTAAAATTCTATTGACATTTAAATCAGCCAATGGCCGTTTGTACAAGGGTTTTCTGACTGGGAAAAGATACAGTATGTGACTTGAATTTCACATATATTTTTGAGATGGAAGGACGGCTTAAAAGCTAAGTTTGCTTTTAAGCCGTCCTTTCATTTTTTAATTAA